AGTGTATAGTGTAGTGTATAGTAGTGTATAGTGTAGTGTATAGTGTAGTGTATAGTAGTGTATAGTAGTTTATAGTGTAGTGTAAAATAGTCGTCACCGGTGTTGGCCGTGAGCGGGAATCGAACTCGGGTCGCCGGGTTCGTAGCGTGGCGCTACCCGCTACACTACAACACGTGACGCTTCCACACGCGCGGGTCACGTGACAGATGTGACGTCACAGCTCACTTGCCGTGCAAGAAATAAATAAATGCATTATTGAGCCTCCCCCCCCCAAAAAAAAAGAACCAGGCAGTGTATTTTTTCTAATTGTTGCATGGTGTACCGTCTGAAAAATACCCACATGGCAAATTTCAACTTTGTTGCATGTCGGGAAATACGCTAAACATTTTGAACAGACACACATAATCGGAGGCACACTTATTTATTATAACTTCACACTCAGCACAGGCCAACGTATACAACACTCAAAGGGGTAACGGCCCCTTCACCCGTCTAACAGGGAGACCCCAGGTGCATTGAACAATTACAATACTCCTATTGATGCTCCTGCTGCTGTTGAGGAGTGGCTCATGCAGCCAGCTATGGCTGCAAGGTTTTGGTAGTACATGTTGTTTATGCCATTTATTGTGAAAATTCCGTCACAGTTCCTATGATTACTTTTTCATTGCTTTCATGGCTTTATTTTGGTGATTTCGAAAAGTGTTTTTGGTTTGGCCATGTTTCTTTGTTGTAGTACAGAGTTAGACTGATGGCCTTAATCTAAGTTGTCTTATGGTTGTTGTTGTTGTTTGACTTGCATCCCACTTGGATTTTTTCACACAGCGTTGGTGTACGGTGTTTTTTTCTGCAATATTTTGCTGTCTTTTCTTGGATTTTCTGTTTGCACTTAGTCACATGGTCACTTTAAGATGTTTTCTTGTTCATGTTTTTGTTTTTTGTTTGTTGCGGTTGCACCCGATTCAAGAGCCGAATGGCTCACAGGGCTACACCTAATACATGAACTTGAACTCTAACCGGCTAGCCTACTCCCAGGTCCTCCACTCGAGAGCTAGGGGAGGCTAGCTAACCCAGCTCTGGCCAAGCTGGGATCACGGCACCCTTAGTCACCAGACCGGCCCCTTCACCCGTCTAACAGGGAGACCCCGGTGACTCTAACCGGCTAGCCTACTCCCAGGTCCTCCACTACAGAGCTAGGGGAGGCTAGCTGATCCAGCTCTGGCCAAGCTGGGATCACAGCACCCTGAGTCACCAGACCGGCCCCTTCATCCGTCTAACAGGGAGACCCCACTATCTCTAACCGGCTAGTCTACTCCCAGGTCCTCCACTCGAGAGCTAGGGGAGGCTAGCTGACCCAGCTCTGGCCAAGCTGGGATCACGGCACCCTGAGTCACCAGACCGGCTCTTTCACCCGTCTAACAGGGAGACCCCACTATCTCTAACCGGCTAGTCTACTCCCAGGTCCTCCACTCGAGAGCTAGGGGAGGCTAGCTGACCCAGCTCTGGCCAAGCTAGGATCACAGCACCCTGAGTCACCAGACCGGCCCCTTCACCCGTCTAACAGGGAGACCCCACTATCTCTAACCGGCTAGTCTACTCCCAGGTCCTCCACTCGAGAGCTAGGGGAGGCTAGCTGACCCAGCTCTGGCCAAGCTAGGATCACAGCACCCTGAGTCACCAGACCGGCCCCTTCACCCGTCTAACAGGGAGACCCCAGTGACTCTAACCGGCTAGCCTACTCCCAGGTCCTCCACTACAGGGCTAGGGGAGGCTAGCTGACCCAGCTCTGGCCAAGCTAGGATCACAGCACCCTGAGTCACCAGACCGGCCCCTTCACCCGTCTAACAGGGAGACCCCAGTGACTCTAACCGGCTAGTCTACTCCCAGGTCCTCCACTACAGGGCTAGGGGAGGCTAGCTGACCCAGCTCTGGCCAAGCTAGGATCACAGCACCCTGAGTCCCCAGACCGGCCCCTTCACCCGTCTAACAGGGAGACCCCACTATCTCTAACCGGCTAGCCTACTCCCAGGTCCTCCACTACAGAGCTAGGGGAGGCTAGCTGATCCAGCTCTGGCCAAGCTGGGATCACGGCACCCTGAGTCCCCAGACCGGCTCTTACAAGAGCATCGGCTCTGGGCTCTCGGGGCCATGCCACTGGCTTGCCCTGGTCGCTCCTGAGAAGGACGGCGATCCAGGGGAGTCCCAGGGCCTATCTAGCCGGTCTTCACTCTTCACTGGTT